GATCAGTTTTTTGCCAGCAAAGACCAAAAATTTTATGAGCGTGGAATTATGCTACTACCAGAAAGATGGCAAAAGGTGTTGGACCAGAACGGTCAATATATAATTTAATAAAGTATTTGTTTATTATACGAAAACTGTCTTTCATTTCCACAAAAAAAAAAAACGAAATGACTCCGAACAACCCGATAGAAGAGTTTAATTGGTGGGACACCTTCTCAGGCATGAAGGACTACTTAAAGGTATATTACAAGCAGAAGTAGGAGTAAAGAGAAGTAGATGTAGACGTACATCAGATTACTTTTCACAATTAGTTAAGCATGTAAGATGTTTTAATTTTAGGGAGATTTGAAGATTAACTCAGATAGAAAAGTCTTAAGACTGATGACTCTATGATGATGATGATAACTTTTCTATGAATAAGATAGGAACCTATGTGGTAAAAGTACGTCAATGAAGTCATAAAGGTATTAAACAGAAAATTTATTAAGCATTAGTTGAGGGCTTACTTCGTCTTTTTCACCAGGCATGTCACCATTTTCTACTCGAAATCGGCGGCCATATTCCTGACCATTGACTTCAGGCTGTTGTAACTGTAACAATGAATACTTATATAAGAACTCATGGGCAAACAGAAACGCTAAACTAAACATAATAACAATCTGTCTAAAAAATATCATTTCTCAATTTGACAATAGAAGAACCAGTTGTTTTAGCTATTGTCGCAGGGAAAACGAAAAAAAATTGAGAAATGAAAAAAAGAATGCAGGTTCAGTACCTAACACCGTGTTTAATGACAAAAAACAAACTTTTTCAATATTTTCCATTTTTTTTTTTAATGTAATTCATGCATTTTATAAATGGATATGTCCGCTTGCCTGTAGGATGAATCACAGAAACTACAGGTACATTATAGGTAGTAAGTATAGATAACCAAGATTGAAAACCTTAATTATGATTACACTTGTCTAAAATATCATGTCCATACAGAAATATTTTTTAAGAAAGAACAACGTATACTTGAATTTTAATGTCAATATCTTGAACTACACTAAAAGACAATTTTTGAACTCACCAACATTTCTGGTCATTAATTCCAACAAATGCTTGTGATAACATCAAACTACAAATAAGACTAAGCATTTTGCGTAATTACTTGAATCATGTTTTTAAAACTAACCACTTCCTCAAAACCACAAACGCATTCTCGAATAATCAACTAAATATTTGTAAATTTAGAGTAAGTAATTACTAACTAGTGCGTGTAGCAGCTGTCTCTGACAATATAATGATAAAATTAAAAGGTATCACGTGAATAGGTATAACGAAAATGGGTCAATTTTGTTTTTCGAAACTTTATTAATTGCTTAAAGTAATAATAAACCCAATTAAGTTGTAATATAAATTTAGCTCAAACTATGGATAAATAAATATAAGACTTTTACAAATCCTTTGTAAAACTAAACATAGAAACTGATCCTATTATCATCTTTCGGAATTTTAAATATAATTTAAAAAATGTAGAGTAGGTACGCTTCTACAGAAAAATCAAAAATGATTAATAAATAAATAAACTAAAAATTGTTTCCTTATGAAAACCCACATTTACGGCATAATTTGTGATGCAATCTCAAAACTCAAAAAATCTTTTCGAGAGAATAATAACGTGAAATAAAAAATAAAATCAATCAAGAGGGTAGCCACTTCCGAGGTACTTTTACCGCTGAATTAAAATTACATCCAGGTTTAACCTCAAAATCAAAATGTTCCAGCTTTGGATATTTTGGATTAGAGATGGGGATATCTCGAAATTTCCTTTGAGGTTTCTTGTCAATATAATATATCACAAATGGCCTTCTCAGGTAC